GAGAGATCCAAAAGACATGTCTATATTCGAATGAACCATATAAAAATAAGGTTTACAAGCGTGAAGATCTTGATCCCGGTGAATGGATTTTGTGTAAATCAAAAGTAAAGAAGTTTACCACCCAAAGGAAATCAAAATTGTTCCCGTTCATAGCAAGTCTCGATTTGGGGACAAATCGCTTTAAAGAGGGAGGGAATGATATGATCCCAATCAGCCCTAGATTTTGTCTTGATCTAATTAAATCATTGAAGTTCACCAAGGATGATCAAATGGAGTTCTACCATACTACATCCTATACCTGCTCATTTATGAACTATATTTTATCATATGTTTGTATTTACCTCTTAGAATATGCTTATCATATTAATCATTCATTGCATGAATTTTCATGAATTTTATTAGTTGCATGAAATTCATTGCATTTAATAAGTGTGATGTTCATTTAAGCACACATTACATTTAAATCATCTAGTTCATTTAGGGAAGATGTTCATTTATACATTTAGATTATTTAGTAAGCTACTTCATTTATGCATCTAGTTCATTTAATAAAGTTAGCTCATTAATTAAACTAGTTCATTTATCAAACTAATTCATTTATTAAACTAATTTTTAATTGTTTCATGCATGTTTTCAATTAAAGATTGAATAAAGTTCACCTTTGCATCTAGGTGCATGAGAGAAGTTAAACGGTTTCATCAGATACAAGAATATCAGTCAGAATGTCTTCTAATTCTGGATGTGATACATGCATTTTTGGATCCAGAAATCAATTGGAACTTATTCCTCTATCTCTTATTTTTCCAACGCCTTTTGACTCACCTCAATACGATATCGAGAGCTTGAGATATGATCGATTTATTGAAGACAGTGCAGGCTGAAATTTTCATTACGGGAATTTTATACAATGATGATTTGGATGAGTTTGAGCCAAGGAAGAGTCCTTTCATCTTCTACCAAGAAACAAGCAATTGATGGCCATCTTAATTCACCAATTCAAGGCATTCAAGGTTGATGTTATCACCCATTGAAAGCCATTCATGTTCAAGCAAGGGGACATGCAATAACCATCATTCAAAACTTAGCATTCAAGGCATTTATCATCTTTTGAAGGCTGATCATATTCTTCAAGGGAACAAGCAATGAAGGCTGATTTTATTTCATTTAATCACCAAATTAAGTGATAAAATAAGCAAGGAATTTGAAGAGACAAGCTGATTTGGACATGTAGGATGTCCACATTCATCCTATGACTTCATTTAACCTCTTTTCTTCCATTTGCAAGCAAAGCAAGGCAGCCCAAGAGTCACCCCTCCTTTTTTGACGAATTTAAGGCTAGAATTATCTCAAATTAAAGATGTATTCATCCATTTTCAATCTATATGGCCAGCCATCAAATGATAAGAAGAATGACAAGTCATTTAATTGAATTCAATTGCATTTAGGCGATTGTTTTATTTTAATTGTAAAAACTCTTCATATGGTGCCTATCAACACTATAAATAGGCGCCCCCATGGCATTTTTACTTGGAAATTTTTGCATAATAAACTCTTTGAAAGGATGCTTTCATTTTAGTTCTTGGATTAGAACTCTATCAGTTTCTTGTCAGTCTTGAAGCCTTCCACCATTTCATTTTATTATAACGTTGGTTCCTAGCTCACCTATAGCTAGTGGGTCACGTTCCATCCTCTTCCACCTCGATTCCATCATATTATATTGTTGGTTCTTAGCTATATATAGCTAACGGGTCACAATCCATTTCTTTGAGATTCTTCATACTACACACCAACTCCCTACTTTCTTCACCAACCTTTTTCATCCTTTATTTTCCTTAAGCACAAGCATCAGTCTTCCTATGCTGCTAATCCATTTCAACATATCTTTTATCTTTCCACTTCCATATTTTATTTATCCATTTCTATTTTATGTTGTTTGCGAATTTCATATTACATTCAAAGTATTGTGGAGTTCTTACTAGAATCACGATCGGGCACACTCGTATATGACTCGGAACATGTAACCGAGGTCATATCACAAAGAAAATGCAATCCATTGGTTATGATTTATTTTAATTTGTTTTGGTAATATGACAATTACTTTCTCAAGACAACCCCCCACATTTCCAAGTGTTTTTACAACATAGGTTTTCAACCATTTCATAACACATATGATGTCTTGTCCTTTTTTATTTCCTGGGGACCTTATTTAAAAGGTAATTAGTTTACAAAACTTCTTCTCTCTCTCCCCCACATATTCTGTGACAACTCAAAACTTCTTATCATTGCGTTCTTTGTTTCCTTTAAGGTTTAATTCTTTCATTTTGCTAACTCCATTTATTTTGGAGAGTTTAGTGATGTCACTTCATGAATAATATCATGTTGTGCACAATTGTTTAACATATTCACCATTCGTATCACTTTGTACTATCTTAATCTATTTATTAAGTTGGTTTTCAACTTCATGTTTATAGAAAACAATTTTCTCTATAACATCACTTCTGCTCTTTAAGCAAATACACATAGCAATACTTTTCCTATCATCAATGGAGGAAATAAAATATTTATTCTCTCTCGTTGTGCCATTATTACGAATTTTAAGAACTTGACCACTAAAATTTCCTTAGTGTCAACATCTTCCGTTTCGTATTTATGGTAAAATGATATCCATAATTCTTTTATCCACCTTATGGATACTATGCACCTTATAGTATATCCGATAATACATTCAGAATGTATTTTCAAACTTTAGTGAATATGGTAATAATGTTTACCTCATCCTCTCTAATGATAGGAGGATCACTCGATATTTGATCAAATTCTACATGACTAAATAAAACAATATCTTATGTTGTCATATCTTGAAAGTTTCTCGTTATGTCTTACAAACATGAACACCGTTGAATTTTTTAATTCAAAGTTTGAGTAGGAACCTACGTTCCAAATCACAAATTAGGTTAATCACTAAGATTACCCATTATTTCGTTTAACGCTTAGTTAGAATTATTAATATTTCCAACAATAAAACAAAATTAAAATTTGATTTATTCAATAAACAAAATTTAGTCATGAACTAAAATTCTGAAACAAATCAGCAACATAGTTACTACTTTCCCATGATTTCCATTAATAGAAATCAAATAATTTTGTTACGCACCAGAATTAAAATATCAATTGATTTCAAATAAGAAATCAAAAGATTCCAATAAACAAAATTAATTCTCATTTATTTGTCGATTTTACTATTGGACAAAATCAAAATTATGAAACAAAATCAGTAACCACAGTTACTTTTACGGCAATTTATGTTATATAGATTTGTCCACTTTGAGATTTTAGCAAACTCATTAAGACGACAAGATAAATACATAAACAAATTTATTTGCTATCTCATTTTATCACGATATTTGAACCGTTTCAAATTAAGAAAGGTATAAGAAAGAGTTCTGAATCGTTTTGGATTAAAGGGCAATATTCAAAATTTCAGTTACACCTAATTGACTTCATCGTTGTCAATAAAAACTTAAACCTTCAAGATTCAAGGTGTGCCCCCACAAAAGTGCGCAACCACAAAGATCTTGCAAAGATTTTGGAATCCAATAATTTGAATCCCTACACAGAAATTAATGGAGTCATATCTCATATTAAAATTAAATTAAAAAATATTCCTAATTTGAAATTCATAAATTCAAATATTGAATAAACTTATCTTTTGCGTAAATTCCTCTTACTTTTCGCCCAATATTTGTTTTGCCGAATTTTTGGCGCTTTCCTTGTACACAACAAGGATTAACATCAAACGAGTTCTATGTCATCTCGAAAATCAAGAAAAAGTTGTCTTAAGATTGTTAGAAAATGATCGTTTTAATCCGACAATAATATAAAAAAATAATGATAGTAAAGTCATTATAAAAATAAAAGAGAATGAACGAGTTTATTGTCTTAAGGTTGTTGATCGAAGTAATAATCTAAGACGAAATCAAACCTGAGAAAATCAAATAAAGAAATTAAATTTTGTAAAGTAAATCAAACATATAATAATATATTTTAATTTAAAATATTTAAAAGAAAAAGTTCTTTTACCATTCAAAGTTAAATATATATATATATATATATATATATATATATTAATTTGAAATATACAAAAATATGTAATTATCTTTAATATTCAAAGTTAAAAAAGAAAACAAATACCTTTTTTAAATTAACATATTCAAAGAGTAGTTATCTTACTAATATTCAAATTAAATAAATATTTAATTTACAATAATGAAAATAAATATGAATTTAATATAAATATTAAATCCATCAAATAAATTCACCATTTTTCAACAAGTCAACTCAAACTCAAAAAAAATTAATTCAAAACATCGAGTTTAAATTAAAGATAAAACATGAACATTAAATAAATAAAAACCTTATATTATATTTTTTAAAGAAAAACAACATATAAATATTAATATTGTTAATAAATTAATTTAAAAATTCAAAATTTTATTATATTTATTTTCGAGTTGCTTGTGAAATTTTCAAGTCGAATATCAAAAAATTTATTTTAACTCATTAAGAAATAAAATAAAGTCTATTTAATTCGTTGATAAAACTTTAACCGAATTAAACGCGAATAAATTACATGTTTTGTCTCATTTTAAGCCCTAGTTGTAAATAAAACAAAGGCACCCTCAACCAGTTTTTCTATATATGTGCAAGTAAATATATATATATGTGTGTGTATCTATAAGTAGGAAAAAAGGAGAGAGAACATAAGACCATAAATTACGAAATACATACACTTGCAGCCACCGGTGAAAACTAACCAGTTATTACAACATTAACCGACAAGAACTTGCATTCCCACGTCTATATACACTTAAATAGTTACTACTTAAACTGGTGACAAGACAGAAATAAAATCCCCATCCTCAAAGATAGTCATGCACAAACCATAAGCATGTTTGTTATTCAAATAAAATATTGAAGGACTAATAGATTTCATACACCATGACTGCAATGCGACTCGCTAAGAAACACAACACATACACACACATATATTACTATATATGTTGTATTTCACATCATCATGGCCCTAAACAATAGGGACCTTCACCCATGTAGTGACCATCCATGTATAGAGCTGCACTCTGTGGATGCAGACCATCCATCACCATGAATTGCATGTCTTCGGACGGCTTCCAATGTCGTTTCCTTTGGTTTATGAACCAGTTGTTGATTTGTTTCTGGTCTAAACCAGTTGATTCAGCCAATGCCACTTTCTCAGTCTCCTGTTGATATAGCAAAAGTTCAAGTTGTTCCTCTAATGGAAAATACCAATTTATATCTTGAAGAGGATGTAAAAGATGCATACCGAAGGGTATGGCCATTTATAGTGCAACTCCCACCAGCTAAGCAACTTTTGTCTAGCTTCTTTGGGTAGTTTCCCTTTCTTCTTTTTCTTGGAGAGTTCTTGCTTGAGACTACTCAGGTAACCGCTATATTTCCTCAGTAAGTGATTTTTCAGTTCTCGATCTTCGGCGCGTGGATCGATTTCAGGGAGTTCGGTTTCTCCGCCACTGTTGTCTTGGTCCTCCTCGGATGAACCAGCACCTTCACACTTCTCATCTGTTCAAATTTTAACAGGAAGTTCACTTGCTCAATTTCATCAGTTAACAATTCATGGTTACTTCATTTAACTAAGATCTTTCGAATAAGTACGGAGGCCAATTCAAAGATAAGAATGGAAACGTGTAAATTAACAGTTGGTCAATTTACACAAAGGGCAGGAGCCATAAATAAATTAGGCAGATTGTTGGGTAGTGGAAAGAAAGTAAAACAAATGGCTATTCAATTTAGTTGAAGTTGAGAAACCGAGATTAAAGCACACTTTTATAGTTGAGTGAAACTGTGTCCAAAATAGCTACAACAGTGAACTTAATAAATGAACCATTTGATATTGTCAAAGAGAAGAAAAAGAGATCAGTTTACGAGTGATGTAAAGCAAAGACCTGTATCATGTTTTTGTTTATTACTTTGGGGTAATTAGGTTGTATATGTTTAAAATACTCTTAACTATTTGAGAATGAACACTCTACACCCTTACAAACATCATGCTTCTCTACACCCTTACAAACATCATGCTTGAAATCGGAACTTCTAAAAATAACAATCATTCCTTAATCACTGAAATCGCTTGATTCGTGCAAACTAGATCAAATTGAATTAAACCATAAGTGTAAACTCATATTCCCATAAGTGAAAGCAAATTAAACCAACAAAAATCACATGTTTCTAGGCTTGTATTTACATCAATCAGTAAAAGCAATAGACTTTGCTCCTCCTATGATTCACTTCATATAAAGCTTGCTCAAAACCATATAAGCTTTAATACCATTATCACTATCCAAACTCAAATTGCAGGAATAAGGATGTCAAAGGCTCAAAGCTATCTTATAGCATGAACTTACATAATTCAATTACATGAAACACAAGTTAGCACACACAGCACACCCTACAAATACAACTGCTCGAATCTGTGATCTCAAGGTAAAACAACATTTCTTTTAAATGCTGAGGCCACTTAACGCGTTCAACAAAATACGTTTTGAAATGTAAGAAAGATCATAAATGCTATCCAGAGAGAAAACAAGGCCCCCATCCGCTAAGATTCGCTAAAAAAGGCGACAAGATTAGCGAAGAAAATATGCACGTTGAATGCAGAATGACAGCAATACCATACAGATTCAGCTCATCAGATAGATACTAATCTTTAATAATTAAAAACAAAAAAATGAATCAATGGGCAAATTACCAATGCTTCTATAGACTATAATCATAGATCACACACGAATTTTACCATAAACGGAGACCTCGTGTGCTAAAATTGCTCCGACATGCATCCCCAGAAATAAGAATCCTTTCCCATTCTTCCACAAACAAAAAAAGCTACAAAAGAAAACCTACTGGAGTTTCACTCTAGAAACTTGAAATGAAGCTGATTTAGCAGATACTCCTACATAGTTTAAGCAGCCTAAAAGCTTAGAAAGGAGATTCTGACAAAGCAGAAAGCAAACTTGTAAAAGAGGAACCAATACAGCAAACATTACTATATTTTCTGCCAAAGCCGTACAGGATACATGGGGTACCACCACCGATTTGAACAGCATCCTATGTTCTGTAAATTTTCTATTCCAAATAAATCTTCTCGATAAAAAAAAATACTAAGGCAAACTATTAAACGAAGAGCAATAAGGGAAAAGACGGCATTAATGATTCCATTCGTCCCTCTAGGTTCTAGGTATGTATATATATATATATATATATATATATATATATATATATATTTATGTACAAAAACGCACATAACTAGAATCAGATTTAGCAGAACTATATAGAATACAGTAGCCAGGTTTAGTGAAGGAAAACAAAACAAAACCCTAAAATAAGGAACGGTTTTGTCAGAGATCGTTGAAAAGGTAACCCCCGTTACAGAAAAGCCAGAACGTGTGGTTTTTATTGTTTAACCGCAACCCCAGTGCATTTTGTCCTTGTTCTTTTCAAATATGTAATATATTTGTTAACGCTTCAAAAAAAATGTAATATATTTGTTAAGATACTGCAATCGATTTACAAATAGACGCATGATTAGCTGAGGTTTTGCAAGATAAACACACTTGGTACCATTTACCATAGCTGTTTTCTTCACTGTTGGCCTTCTTCTCCGTTTATAAGGATGTATTTTATTTTATGTGGGTTTTTCATTCATTATCGGAAGACGTGATTTGGGTCAAATTTCTCATTTTCTTTACTTCATTAGGAAAGAGAACCAATGACTAATGAATGAATGAGAGAGAGAGAGGCTCAAGTCTACAATTTCCAAAAGGAATCCAGGCAAATTAGACTATCAGGTTTCTATGACAGTTCAAAACGGTACAGTTAACCTCATCTCTGCAAACATCGACACAATTTTTTCCAACCTAGACGTTGGCAAAGCAAAAAGAAAAAGCACAAATATACACGAAAGCATACTGAAAATGCGAAGAAAAGAGGGGGAAAAGTACCAGGACTAAAGATCCGCACGGGACCATTGCCGATCATGTTAAGTTGAGCTTCGATCCTCCGCATGAAATCCCAAGCTTCTTGTATTGGCCTCGTTAGTTCCTCTCTATATTTCACCAGCATGTCATAGTAAGCTTCCTGTGTTTACGGATGCACAACTTTTTGTCAAAGGAAAAGTACTTAACGAAACAAAGGGTCGCCATTAAACCCCCAAGCCAAAGAGAAGAACGTTCATGAAAAACAAAAAAGAACAAAAAAAATTCCAGTAGGGTAAAAGAGAAACACAATCACCATAAACTGATCAAGTTCCGGGTCTTTTGAGTTATCTTTTGATGTCACTGAAGATCGCTGCCTTGCCTCGAACTCTTGTCGAACAGCTGCTAGCCGTGCCACCACTTCGGGAGGAGCTCCTACCTATATAAAATAGATAAAGTTTAGCAAAATTTCTAGAGTTTGAAGTAGGTTTTTGTTTTGCACGGGTGATTCACCTTTTGGCAATCCATGTAAGCCTCAAGGAGATTAGAGTACTGAGGATGAGCTATGATCTTCGATTTGATAGCTTCGAGTTCAGTGGAGCTTTCGTTCACTTCTTGTTGGCGATGAATTGCTTGATGCCCTCTCAACAAAGGGTGGTGAAATTTTTGGCCATGTTGTGAAGTACTAGCTTCAGTTTTCACTATTGGGCGTCCCTCAGATTGATAGCATTCACTTGATGGAAGATGGACAGAGGTTAAAGGTATCTGGGTTTGCTGATTACTCACGTTGGAGCCACTACTTGCTCTCCCATATGGGGCAGAATTTGAAGCAAGAACTTGAGATGCGTACAAGAAATTTCCCCTAGGAGTGCTATTTTCGTTTATCTGATTGTATTCTTCCATTAGTTTCTCCCCTTGTTCTCAACAAAGCAAACAAGCAAGGAAAAAGAAAATCGTATAAACCCTAAACAAAGAAGTGATGTGAGAAAAACGAAACCCTAATGAGTATAGCTAGGACACCTACTGATGGTTTACTGCAACAAAGTCGTCCAATTTCGTATCAAATAGAAGACAACTTTAACATCAGATGAATGCCAAGCTATTGAAATTCTCTGAAGTTCTACGCCAAGGAATCTTTAAGGAAAAATTGCACTTGCAGAAGATTAAAAAAAACAGCGATGAACTGCAGTTTTAGTTGAACTATGAAGACGAAGAAGAAGAAAGGAGAAAGACTAAGGTGAAACCGGGACCGGCAAGCAAGCTGGTTGACAAGACGTTCATTGTCTAAAGATAAAAAAAATTTGAGATGGTATTCAAAAGACAAAGATCGGAGAAAAATGAAAGCCAGTTGGAATTTTCCACTCGGAACAATATTTTCTTTCCTCTACCTTTACTTGTTTTTATAGAGACAGGATTGATTGGGATGGGGGAAGAAAAACTATTCACTTAATTATGTATTGTCTAAAAAGTTTTTTATTGAATGTGATCATCGTTAATATATCGTAATTTTTTTTATAAAGAAAGTTGGGTCAAAACGAGCCTAACTATAAGCTTTGCATTTTAATAGTGTAACAATTTCGTAATGTTCCTTAGGGATTTATAAATCATATGAAATTTGTCATATTGTTTATAATTATAATTATAAATTTTTAAAGTGGTTTTAGTGATAGAAATATTATTTTTAAGAAAAATTAAATTTAACAATTATGTCATAAAATATATTAATAATTTATATATAAAAATAATCTTTAAATATTATTTTTATAAAAGAGTATTGTTTATAAAAATACTTTTTATACCTTCAAAATACATCTCATTAGGGGTGTTAAAAAATATCCGATCCAGTTGACCAGGCATGTCGACCTGCCAACCTGAACCTAAAAAATTTGATTAATTCTCTAAAAAATTACACGACCCGTGATTTTTTTGGATAGTTAGGTCGGGTCTAGGTCGATTTTTTATAACCAGGTATTTGACCGATCTAATAATATTAATATATATATATATAGTTAAATTATATTTTTATTTTAAGTTTCTTAATATTTTTACCACAAAATTAAATTTAAATCTCTAATATACAAATTACTATCTATATTAATAACTTTAATTTTTTTTCTTTAGGAAATATATATATATCCTTAAAACTAACTTCAAATCACTAACTTTTGTGTATGATTATGTATAATGAACTTTTTAATTTTATGTATCTTCTATGTGATTTTTTAAAGTAAATTAAAAAGATTTTAAAAAATAGATTAACTCGGTACCCTTGACTCGAAAATACGGGTGCCCGAAATTTATGGGTACCTGGACTTAACGGGCCAGGCAACTGGCCGACAAATATATTACCCTGAGAATCGGGTATCTGATACTTCGGGTTACCGAAAGTGAGAGTACCCAGTTTTGAACAGCCCTACATCTCATGTAGAATATTAACCACTTGCTAACATAATCATTTAGAACACCAATTAGTAGAACTTTTCAAGACCCTCCGAAATTGACACGACCACCTTAGCCATGTAACACCCTAATCTAGTCTGACCCGAAGATCCATGAGTCACGATACCATAGGGGACCACCGAAATGGTCAACCCAATATTTTCTTTTAAACGTTTGTAAAATATCAAAAATCATTCATCGTAGAGTAAATAAAACATCATAATCGAAGTTTAAAAAAATACGAGAGGCCCCCAGTACGTACAAATACAACCAATAAGTTTTAAATCAAAACAGAGTTATGACTCGATCATACAAAGGTCCATATAAAATACATGCCCTCTAAAAATACCCAAGACATACTCTGTAAATCGTATGGTCTGGAATGTATTGATGCATAGGCTCTTCAACGGTCCCCCACTAGCTTGCGCATGGAAACACATTTCATACGCTGAGCTCACAAGCTTAGTGCCACGAAAATAACTATGCAATACTACATGCATCCATTACATAAACATGTTGGTGTGTAAAGCCATAAACATGCAAAAGTACATAGCAAACATAAGATAGGCCAAGTGGTGTGGTATGAGGAATTTACTTGCATCTCAGACAACACACTAGCATATCTAGAACGGGATAACTTTGGGGTAAGAACCAAAATTTATGTGCATCGAAACTTATATCCCTAGTCTATCTCGAATACTTGAGAGGTCGGGGTGAGGACCAAAATTTACGTGCTTTGGTAGTTCACATCCCGAACTTATTCGAGCATGGAGAACGATATGAAATTTACGTGCATCGGATACGTACCGGTAGGATCCAGAATAACATGCATCGGATACGTAACAAGTCAAACAATATCCAGGTGTTTTACCAACAAAGAACGATTATCATAATGCTAGAGTAACTTGGGTGTCCTAATCGTTTCCCGAGCATCACACAAAAGCTAATCTTATGTTATCCTAACTTGTTTAATTTCTAGGTGAGAATTTAGTTAACTTTATTGTTTTCACTTGTAACGAATACTTGAAACTTATACAAACGCAAAACACCCAAGCCCAAACCCTTGAACCAAACGAACCAAATTGCCCCAAAATCAGCAAGGGTATCGATGTTGTGCCAACAGTATCGATACTGACACTTGGGTATCGATACTCACCCTGAGTATCGATACCAAAAATAGCTTCGATGTTTTTAAAATTGTCTTGTTATTGATACCCTATGGAGAGTATCGATACTCTACCATTGGTATCCATACTCCTTTGAGTATCGGTACCAAAAATAGCTACTGGAATCTGAAACTTGCCACCACTATTGATATTTCCCTCTGAGTATCGATATCGAAACCCGAGTATAGATACCTATTGATGAAGTATCGATACTCCTTTTATAATTTTCCTTGTTTTTGCCTTTAACGAAGAACAATATTGATATTGTTATTACAATATCGATACCGTCAGCCTGAAGTGCCCTATTTTGGGCACGAAAAAGCATCTAAATCTCACCCATACACTCCCCTAAGATTAGCAAGGCTTATTGAAGTCTTATATGAGGTCTTAAAGGTCAAAATGTATCATTTTTCATGCTTACAAACAACAAATACGAATCTTGCCATGAAATTTACTCTAACATGCTTCATGAACTAAATAAACCCCAAATGCACATATCTTGACCTACATTTGGTATGGTCAAGTTAAAATTGTGTCACCTTACTTCCAAACTATTGAAAAACATTCTTGAATCACCCAAGAGTGAGTGTCTCCTTATCCTTTACCTTAGAGCTCTCACCATTCTCTTGCACTAATTAAGATAAAGAAGATGAGTTATTAACTCATTTTGGAACTTAGGAGGATGATAAAAAGGATTTAAAACTCAAATTATCCCAAAAACGGATTAAAATCCCAAGTTTTCTAAACCCCTCTTAAACTCATTTCTATGGAAACTAAGCCAAATCTTGCAAAAGTGGGTTTGAATGAAAGCTTAGGAGTTTTAGTTCATGATTCTTACCTTAGAATTCTCAAAATAGGCTTCGGATTCTTAAAGCTTGGACTTTTGGCTTTACTTCGAAGGCAAGAAAATGACGAAGAATAAGAGAGGAAGAAGACAAACTTGGTGAAGAAAAAAATATATGAACAAAACAGACGTGATATCATCCCATTAAATGGGAATTCAACTATATATTTGAAAAATAGGATATTTACTCTCCTAGTCCCTACATATTTATGTCCAAAATAAAAACACCCTTTTTAATGCTTATTGGGCTCATCTCAAGCGTAAATCAAATGCTACTTGGTCAAACTCTTCATGGGCTAAGGAGATTTATTCTAAGGTCCAAATCGAATATACCCAAAACTCCTAACCTGAAATTCATAGCGTTACAAGCCAAATGATCGTTTAGAGTTCCTCTCTTTAACTTTTGACTTTGATAACCAAATCTGATAACTGACTGTTTGAAATATGTATATTGTAAAACCACAATGTTAGCAATGACACGACAATTTAAATAAATTAGATGAATAGAAAAAATAGAATTGTGTCGTAGTAAAACCGTTGCCTTAGAAACGAATTCACTCCGATGTGTGTAATCGTTACGTTAGGCGGATCGTCCCCCGAGGTTAACACGGTCGCTCCGAGGATTTGTACACCTGAAAATCAGAGTGGACGCGACGGCACTGATATTTTCTTAGCACCAGAAAAAAAAAGCTTAGAAAACTTTAAAGATCGTGTGAGAGGAATTGTAAGTGTTTGAGTAAGTTGAGAAGATGAAAATGCTTCTCTATTTATAATCTAGGCTCAGGATCAAAACCGTCCAAGCTAAAAATCAGATATAATTCTTATTTAATTCTTTCTGAATATTATGTTGTTTGAATATATGTTATAAACAAATGAATTTGTCCCTTATATTGTCCAGATTCATTATACGAAAATAATTGTTATAACAACTAATTAATCTGAATTTATGCCCCGTAATTGATGTAATACAACAACTCTTTGTTTTACTTTGAATATAGCTTAAACAATGTCCAGAGAGTTTTACTCTGAATAGAGCTTAAACAATGTCCAGATACATCCTAAAATTCAATCAGACAATATTTCAAAAATCATGTCCTTTAATTACAACTGACTGTTACTGAATTAATTTACAGAATTCAAACATACAGCTAATTATTTAGCTGTTACCTATGTAAATTTAAATCAGTTCTATAAATATTAGAGAGAAATTCTTTCACATTCTTTGTTTACCTAGAAAATTTATACGAATTTTCTCCAAAATATAGTACACACATGGACATGTCAAAGACACATATTGCCATGAGCTACGATGACGAGCCAAGCTACACGGACAACAACAACGCACGAGATGAATCCTTGTTCTCTATCACTCAACAAAGGATGGGAGAATGAACACTATAAATACCTTTGTATGCGGTATTTCTCATTCAATGTTGGATAGTGTTTAAAGTATTACCAACACTGAAAACCATCTATATTAACTGAGTGAAATAACATCCTATTGACAGTTACAATGAACCTAATGAACCTATTGGATGTTATAATGACCTTAGTCCTGATACCAACTACCTTAAAATCAAGGTAATTAAGCCCCTAGAAAAACCAATAATGGGGACCTTCTTCTCTCCTTGAGGATTTCTTGAAAAAGAGAGAGTTCTCTTCTTTGTCACTTTATATTATCCATTGTCTACGATATTTTATTTACCAATCGAGACTCTCTACCCAAACTAGAAGGAGTGCATTAT